GTTTTCCTAAGTGTTAACTCCATAAAGGCCAAGAACAAATCAACCTCCGAACCTTGCTTTTCTTTTCAATAAAATGAGAATATCTACTCTAATAACATGATTATTGTTGTTGTGAAAAACAAATTTAAAGAAATAACATGACAGCACTTTAAAAACTGCAAAGGGAATGGCTATTCACAAATTATTGTTGTTTTTTGTTCTTTTAATGATCATTTCTAACTATGGCACACCCCTCCCTAAAAAAATAATAAGAGGACATAAGTAATGAGCTTGAAGCTTGGAAAATGAAACTTCCTAAGCATTAACAGAGAATGAAATGGATTAAAGCTTTGAATTGGCAAGCTACTGACTTGGAGAATATATTCACAATTCCTTTTTCCGACAAAGGACTTATATCCAGAACATATAAAGAGCCCTTACAAAGACAAAACAATCCAATTTTCTAAATGGACAAACGACTTTTACAGGCATTTAGAAAGGAAGACACAAGAATGAAAAATGCCTCTTATCAACAAGGAAATGTATCACTTTATCACTTTATCATTAATTTCTATACCTGTCTCTGCATTTAAATTTTTTTAAATCATAGGCTGTTACAGTTGGAATGAACGTTAAAAATAGTTTTATTTTTTTTTTCCCCCAACTCTCTCCTTTTTCCAGTGGAGAAACTGAAATCCAGAGAGGTGATATGATTCCAAAGTTACAGAACTGGTTAGAGAATCCTTACCTCCTGAGTTCACCATCACTATTCTCTCCATTACTCAAGCAGACGGGAGTTTGGTTTCAGCCCTTATCAAACTGCAAATTGTACAGCATTCCTGAGTTTCTTCGTGAATAAAACATACCCCATAGTTTGTTCTGAAGTATAGAGGCAGTGGATGCAAAGCATCTACCATGAGAGGTACAACAAATCATGGCTGTTATTATTCCTAAGCAAAGCAGTTATGTATTCTAGATGCATGTATGTCTTCTCTATCCGATTGGACCATAAACTTTTTGAGGGTAAAAAACAAGGCTCACACTGCGTACTTAAACCTAAGAGTGCCTTTCATATGACAAGGGCTCAAGAGTGTCAAGTCATTACAGCTGCTCCTTAATCTGAATGCCAGGTTCTTCTCGTCATTTCTTTGATCACTCATTCAACAAATGTTAACTGAGGCCTACTGTATGCAAGGGCCTGTGTTTGGGGTTAAAAGAGCAAAGCTGCAGTCACAACGAAGATGTTCCTTACTAGATCCCATATAAACCATCATAACGTGGAAAAAAGAAGGAGGAAGAAAAGACCCACACTTGTACCGAAGAGCCTTGGCATCAAGCCTTGGAATTCTCCAGAGAAGCAGCACAGTGTACATGTGTAGCTAGATGCTGGAGGGACAAAATAGCTAATAATGAATTACTGTACTCATTTTCAAACCACCTTGCGAAACAGCCTTTCCAATTCAGCAACGCACAGTTCTCCAGATCTTTACTCTACAATGGCATTTAAATTAAGTTTCCCTACCACAGCAGGTCCATATAATTGTGCAGTGCCCAGAAAACAAAATGTATTGAAGGCCAATTTTCCAGTATTTCTCCTTTCCTTAGTATTATCTGAAAACTGCAGTAACTAATCTGATTCAAGAAAAAATCATTTTCAAACATGCTGGGACAAGTATCCAAGATGTACTTCAACAGCTGTAGATTCTGAAGATGTCACCACGTCTTCCAGAATTCAGTCAGGAAAAAAATACATAGTATTCAAACAGATATTCACTTTAAGGTCAATATAACTTTCAATCTATAACCGCAGTTGGGCTGCTAGTGCTTAAAAAACATGTCTAATAGAAAGTAGGCAACAACAAATAAATTTAACCATTATATCAAGAACAGACAGCAATTTTAAGCTGTTTGCAGCTGTTGACATTGGATGAAGATGAAAAATTGCAAATAAATGGTCCTCTTTTTCCAGGTGAGGGCAGTGCGGGTTCAGTGGTAGAATTCTGGCTTTCCATGCAGAAGACCTGGGTCCAATTCCCAGCCAGTGCACCTCATATGCAGCCACCACCCATCAGTCAGTGGAGGCTTCTGTGTTGCTATGATGCTGAGCAGGTTTCAGGAGGGTTCCCAGATTACAATAAACTAGGAAGAAAGGTCTGGCCATCTACTTCCAAAAATCAGCCAGTGAAAACCCTAGGAATAACAGCTATTTGATCCACAACTAATCATGGGGAGGGCAAAGGACCTGGCAGTGTTTAGTTCCACTGAACATGGGGTTGCCATGAGTTAGGGCCAACTCGATGGCAGCTAACAATATTTTTCCAAGTACCTTAGCCTTAATCCAACATCTCATTGGCACACACATTTGCAAAACTCAATGGTAGAGTTAGGTGAATAACAGCCCATAAATGCATACAAGGAAAGGTTACTTTAGATCTGATTAGATTAGTAACCTTGATCTTTTCAGAAGAGTTGACTTCAATAATGTGAGTTCAGGGGAGTTGTAGCAAGGCTAAACATTCCAATTAAAAATAAGTTTCAATGTTTTAACTTAGAATCAGTCTTGGGTAAAAGTGTCAGACAGTTGGTCTTCTCAATTTCAGGTATTTAGCTTATTCAGAAAAGTAAAAATGCCATTTATACAGGCTAGAATTCACACAAGTCCCAATTCGGATTACAATGATTTACTACAATTATAATAACACTTTCTATGAAATTATACAAATATTATGTGCATAAAAATGGTTAACTTTTAAATAAAGAAGTTACTAATTAGAAATCAAACTGAGAACAATTGCTAAGAGTTCAGAGCAATTATATTCCTTTCAATGACCAAAAATTATTGTAGAATTAGGCACATTCACTTGTTCTATAAACTCATTAACACTGTGAAAGGAAAAAAAAATGTTTTGAGGTACTGAAAAAAGGAAAACCACAGTCCTAATAAAACCACCACCGCAAAAATGCAAACAAATTCAAAATCCACAGTGTTTCCTTGGATTCCAAAACACACCACTGGTCTTTACATTGTCTAAAGCACACTGAGCCGCATTCTCTGCTATGGAGCCTAACACATCACTGTGCCGAGTGCAAAACATATTTATTTACGCCTTCACAAAAAAGAACACTAAGAACCACCATAAATCACAGTCCAACTACAGTCCAGATTCACAACTCACTCATTCATCCTGCACTGATTTGAGAACTATGACAAATTGACCATCTAGAGTTTAGTGGCTGGGATGGAGATATTTGACTGAGTGCTTTCTTTCAGTCAGTTTTTGTTTCACAGATGTTAGTGGTTTTAAGTTTACATTCATTTTCAGTATTAAAAATTGGCTTCCCTAAGGTGCACGAGTCTGAGCCCAGGTCAGCAGATTATGAGGACGCCTGAACTGCTAAAGCAGCAATCCATGTCCACTCTGAGAGTCTCCCTCTAGTTTTCCTATTAAGGCCTACCTGCCCTGGTCCACCCTCCTGAAAAAAGGTCTGGGGCTTATAGGCCTGGTATGACTCCAGGGAGCTTTTAAGAGAAAAGTGGCCTCTTCCAAAATTAGACAAGCCCTGCTTATACTCAAACAAGGAAAATCAAAACTCAGAATCAAGGTAGCAATAAAAACCACCAACTGACTTTGTCAAGAGTTAAGAGTCTTCTTTTGAAGAATTCCCCTTGATTCCGTGAGGATTTCTAGAAATGACAACTAAAGGGAAAGCAAGGTACGAGCAAGGAGTTTTGTGTGTTTCAAGGGCAATTCTATGTCATTTGAAACTAGGTAAAAGACTGCATTTTCAACAACCTCGTATTTATCTTTTTTTTTTTTTTTCTAAAATAGGTAATGCATATACTTACAAAAGAGTCCCAAAAGGGAAGTGAAAGGTAAATCTTCCTCCCACCCATCCCCCAGGTCCCCTCCCAGAGACAACTATTGTTTCTTGAGTACCCTTCCGTAGACATTCTTTGCACATGCAAATATACCGAGTGTTTTAAACCAATTATCCTATATTTACACAAAGTGGCAGCTCCAAAATTGTTATTAAACGCCTCCAGTCTTAAAGGTAGCAATCTGCTGGGAACGGAGGAGAAGAGCGGGCAGCATGAGTAGATTTATCTTGCAGCTGCGGTTTCAAGCACCGGTTTTTACTTAGTGTGCGTTTATTTGGATACCTTTGGAAGGCTCTCGGAGATTCCCAAAAAAAACACCAAACCCGCTGCCGTCGAGCCCACTCCGACTCATCGCGACCCTACAGAACACAGTAGAACTGCCAAGTAGAGTTTCAAACGAGCAGCTGGTGTATTCAAACTGCCCACCTTCCACCTTTTGGTTAGCAGCCTGAGCTCTAAACCACGGCGCCATCAGGATGATGAATCCCCCCCACAAACCACCCCCCGCCACGGCCACTGTATTCGCACTGGTCTGCACTTTTACGTCGCAACCTTTCAAGAACATTTTATATTTTTACTGGATTAAATGCAGCATCTCAATTCACCTTCCAAAAAAAAAAAAAGCCGAATTCTGAAAGTAACTTTCAGAACCAGGTGACTTCCTCTCCGCCAAACGAGCAGCCTACTTCGGTCGTGTCCTTAGGAAGGGTTCAGCTTGGCATGAACTTGGCGAGCCAAAAACAGAGAAACCCAAAGAAAAGAGACGGCGGGAGTTCTGGGCCGCGCTTTTCTTCTTCTAGACAACTTTCGAGATAGAAATCCTAAATCCATGGGCCCTCCTTCCTCGCTCGGGATGCTCAGGGCGCTGAGGCGGGTTGGGAGCTCACGCCTCCGCCCCGGGCCGTAACTTCAACCCCCGCTCCCGGAGCGCAGCCCGATCCCCACGAGTCGCAGGAATCGGCAATCCCCCATAGCTCGCCTTTCAGGCGCTGCCCGGCACCGCCAGGAGGGCAAGGCTCCAGGCAGCGCCTCTCTCTCCCCAGGGTTCCCCGGACCCCCATCCCGCACTCTCGTCCTCCAGGGTCCCTGCGCGCCCCTGCCAGGAAGAAAGCCACAGGTAGGGGGGCGGCGCGGTGCTCACCTGCGCAGGAGGGGTGCTCTCCGCTCCAGCTAGAGAGAAGGAGGAAGAGGCCATGTTGTGGGGCTGCTGCTCCTTCCAGGAACTCTGCTCCCCCCTCCGCGCCCCGCTCCTCCTGCCCGCAAAAGTGGGACTCCTTTGGAAAAAGTTCGGCTGTGCCTCGGGAACGCCAAGCGCAGCTCCGCGGCGCCCGCCCAGCGCGCCGTCTCCTCCCCCTGCTGTGTCCGCAGCGCCCGCCAGGTGCCCGCCCGGGCCGGAGCGGCGGGGGGCGGGCCCGGCTCAGGTAGAGGCTCGGCGGCGGGACGAACGGCGGAGCGCGGCGCTCCAGCCGGCTCTCAGCTGCCGCCCGGCCCCGCCGAGCATGCCCAGTCGGTCGGCCTCACGCTTCGAGGGGGCCCGGCAGGGAAGCCCGGCCGGTGCTCTCGGGTCTGAGCAGTAGCAGGGCCAAGGGTTCAGGGGATTAAGGAATGGGTGGCCTTACGGGGATAGAGGCAGCAGGCGCAGCAGGAACGGGGGAAGGAATCCTGTTTCATGTGAGCTGCTAAAAAAAAGTTCCATTAGCCACCCCAATATAATAATAAAATACTATAATGTAATTAATTGATGTTTATTCAAGCTTAAATGGATAAAGGCATAGATAATTTCTGTGTGTGTGTGTGTGTTATTAAACTGTAGCATACAGTCTACGTAAAAAGCAATGTTTACCATGCAGACAGGTTCAAAACAATGTCCTCAACTTTCCTTCCAGTCTACCCAGGTCCCGGCTACCCATAAAGAAAAACCACATTGCCTCAAGCTAAGTCCTGTCCATTAAAAATAAAACTTTGGAGCTGTCCGGGGTGTGAAGCAGGGACTGAGCCTGACCCAAGAAGGAAATGGGGTGCAGATCTCTGAGCACACTAGTTTCTAGGAGCCCAGATGACCAGGGTTTGGGAAACTCCTGTCCTCGACAAAGCTGGGGATTGGCCGGAGCGGGGGCGGGGGTGTAGCTGGACATCAGGCTGCTGTCCTGACAGAGTTCACTATTCTGGTGGGGAAGAGGGGAAGCAAGGCAACTGCTCCTCACATATTGTTGTTAGCTGCTCTGGAGTTGTCCACTCGATGGAAACTGGCCCCTCACGTGTTGTTGTTGTTAGGTGCAGTCAGTCGGTTCTGGTTCATAGCAACCTTATGTACAACAGAACGAAACCCTGTCCAGTCCTTCGCCATTCTCACAATCATTGCTATGTTTGAGCCCGTTAATGCAGCCGCTATGTCAATCCATCTCGTTGAGGGTCTTCCTCTTTTTTGCTGACTCTCTGCTTTACCTACAAGATGTCCTTCTCCACGGACTGGTCCCTCCTGAAAACATGTCCCAAGTAGGCGAGACAAAGTCTTGCCATCCTTGCTTCTAAGGAGCGTTCTGGTTGTACTTCTTCCAAGACAGACTTTTTCGTTGTTCTGGTAGTCCGTGGTATAGTGAGTGTTCTTCACCAACACCATAATTCAAATGCCTCAAGTACTCTTCTTTATTCATTGTTCAGCTTTTACATGCATATGAAGCAATTGAAAACACCATGGCTTGAATCAGGCACACCTTAGTCCTCAAAGTGACATCTTTGCTTTTTAACACTTTAAAAAGGTCTTTTGCAGCAGATTTGCCCAATGCAATATATTATCTGATTTCTTGACTACTGCTTCTATCGGCATTGATGAAATCCTTGACAACTTCAATATTTTCTCCATTTATCATGATGTTCCTTATTGACCCAGTTGTGAGGATTTTTGTTTTCTTTATGTTGAGGTTTAATCCATACTGAAAGCTGTAGCCTTTGATCTTCATCAGTGCTTCAAATCCTCTTCACCTGAGCAAACAAGGTTGTGTCATCTGCATATCGCAGGTGTTAATGAGTCTTCCTCCAATCCTGATGCCATGTTCTTCATAAAGTCCAGGTTGCCGGATTTTTCACTCAGCCGACAGATTGAGTAAGTATGGTGAAAGGATACAACCCTGACGCACACCCTTCCTGATTTTAAACCACGCAGTATCCCCTTGTTCTGTTTGAATGACTGCCTCTTGGTCTATGCGCAGGTTCCTCATGAGCACAATTAAGTGTTCTAGAATTCCCATTCTTTGCAATATTATCCATAATTTGCTATGATCCAAACATTATATTAATGCTTTTGCATAGTCAATAAAACTCTGGTAAACATCTTTCTGGAATTCTCTGGTTTCAGCCCAGATCCATATGACATCAGCCATGATATCCCTCATTCTACGTCCGCTTCTGAATCCGGCTTGAATTTCTGGTGGTTCCCTGTTGATGTACTGCTGCAACTGTTTTTTAATTATCTTCAGCAAAATTTTACTTGCATGTAATATTAATGATATTGTTCAATAATTTCCACATTCTGTTGGATCACCTTTCTTTGGAATGAGCATAAATATGGATCTCTTCTAGTTGTTTGGCCAGGTTGCTGTCTTCCAAATCTCTTGGCATAGATGAGTGAGTGCTTTCAGCTTTGCATCCGTTTGTTGAAACATCTCACTTGGTATTCTGTCAATTCCTTTGCCAATGTCTTCAGTGCAGCTTGGACTTCTTCCTTTAGTATCACCGGTTATTGTTCATATGCTACCTCCTGAAATGGCTGAACACCGATCGACTCTTTTTTATGCAGTGACTCTCTGTATTCCTTCCATGTGTTTTTGATGCTTCCTGCATTGTTCAATATTTTGCCCATAGAATCCTTCAATATTGCAGCTCAAAGCTTGACATTTTTCTTCAGTTCTTTCAACTTGAGAAATTCCGAGTGTGTTCTTTCCTTTTGGTTTTCTAACTCCAGGTCTTTACACATGTCATTATAATGCTTTACTTTGTCTTCTCTAGCTGCCCTTTGAAATCTTCTGTTCAGCTCTTTTACTTTATCGATAATTTCTTCCATTTGCTTTAGCTACTCCACATTCAAGGGCAAGTTTCAGAGTCTCTTCTGACATCCATTTTGGTCTTTTCTTTCTTTCCTGTCTTTTTAATGACCTTTTGCTTTTTTCATGTATGATGACATCCTAAGTGTTCAATGCATTAAATCTATTCTTGAGATGCTCTCTAAATTCAGGTGGGATATACTCAAGGTTGTATTTTGGATCTTGTGGACTTGTTTTAATTTTCCTCAGCTTCAGCTTGAACTTGCATATAAGCAATTGATGGTCTATCCTGCAGTCGGCCCCTGGCTTTGTTCTGACTGATGTTATTGAGCTTCTCCATGGTCTCTTTCCACAGAAGTAGTCGATGTGATTACCCGTGTACACTTACCATTTTGAGCCCTAGTGGCACAGTAATTAAAGTGTTCAAGTGCTAACTGAAAGGTCAGTGGTCTGAATCCACCAGTGACTCCTTGGAAACTCTATGGGGCAGTTCTACTCTAGACGGCAATGGGTTTTTAGTTACCGTTTATGTTATTGAAAAAAGGTATTTCCAATGAATAGGTCTTTGGTCTTACAGATTTCTATCAAGTGATCTCCAGCATTGTTTGTATCACCAAGGCCATATTTTCCAGCTACTGATCCTTCTTCTTTGTTTCTTTCACATTAAAATCGCCAGTAATTATCAATGCATCTTGATTGCATGTTTGATCAATTTCAGACTGCAGAACTTGGTAAAAATCTTCAATTTCTTCATCCTTCATATTAGTTGTTGGTGTGTAAATTAGAATAATAGCTGTATTAACTCGTCTTCCTTGTAGGCGTTTGGATATTATCCTATCACTGACAACGTTGTCCTTCAGGATAGATCTTGAAATGTTCTTTTTGACAATGAATGTGATGCCATTCTTCTTCAATTTGTCATTCCCAGCATAATAGACCATATGATTGCCTGATTCAAAATGGCCAAGACCAGTCCATTTCAGCTCTCTATTGCCTAGGATATCAATCTTCAAGCGTTCCATTTCATTTTTGACAACTTTCAGTCTTCCTAGATCCATTCTCCGTACATTCCATGTTCTGATTACTAATGGATGTTTGCACCTGTTTCTTCTCATTTTGAGTCATGCCACATCAGGAAATTTAGGTCCCGAAAGCTTGACTCCATCCACATCATTAAGGACCTCTCACAGGTGTCACCAGAGTTGCGTGTTGGCGGAGCCTAGCCAGGGCATTAAATGACAGCAAATCACATGGTGAGAAAGTTCCTCTTGCCTTTTCAAGTCTCTTCCAGTCCTTCTGATTAAAACAAGGAGAAACTATTCTCTCTCAAACATTGGTTAATGGTTTTGTTTTTTTTTTTAATCAGAGAAAGAGACCAGGCCCCAGGCTCAAAGCCTTAGATTACACTTGTGCCCTTAATTAGATTTTATAGCGTTGTTTAGTTTTCATTGTTTATTCCTGCTGTTAGTTTCTTTTTTTTGGAGCGTGAAAGTGGTTTTCCATTAATGGTAGGAATCCAAAGTTTCCTTTTTAAGTAAATGTATTTAAGAGGAAACATTATATTAAGAAAAACAGTAAGAAAGTTATAGTTCGGGTAGGATTGGGATAAAGCAAAATAATTATGAAGGTAGGTAGCGAATGACTGAAGTGTGCGAAACTGACCGTTAAAGCCCAGAATAACTCCTTAACCAGAGAGTTCGCTGTGCTTCTGATTCAAGGCCTAGTTCAAGTCCTCTGTAACACACATAAAGCCAGAATAACATTTATTGGGCATCTGGTCTGCGTCGGGCCCTATGCTAAGCACCTTATTCATATTATCCCATTTAGTCCTCATGAAAGCCTTGCAAGACAGACAGCACAATCTGGATTTTGAATCTCAGAAACATTAATTTAGCCGAGGTTCACAAACTAGTTAAGCAGAGCACCGATGACTCAGTAGTTTGGGCATTCTTAACTTGAGTTTTATAAATCACCTCAGTATTTAGCAAGTCCCCAAACCCCCTGAAACTTTATGTCAAATTCTGCATGCCATTTCATGGGCATAAATGGAATACACAGTTTTCATCAACTCTTCAGAGGGATCTCTCTGTACATTCAGAAAAGTTTAAGAACCGCTATTATTATTCACAGGGCAATCTCACCCTTTGGATTATAAGGTCCATGAGGGCAAAGGCCCTGTCTTTATTAAGTCTTCTTGTATCTCCCACTATGCCTACCCTGGTGCTTTATTCCCT